TAAGAGTAAATAAATTATTTAAATTCAAGAACACGTATTTATTTTCAAGATTATTCATTTTATCATAAATTATTCTAGGAGTATACAAATTATTAAAAATTATATAATTTGAGAGCTATTCAATTATTATAGGAGTAGATAAAATATCCAAGTTCACATACACCTATTTAATTTCAATATTATTCATTTAATCTATGATATAATGTCATTCGTCTAAATGAATATAAATTATTCTTTTCTATATTCATTGATTCAAATTAATTAAATTCTATGTTGGTTCATGTACACCCCCTTTGTTTAAATGTAGATAAATTATTATTTTTCTATATCTATTAATTCAAATTAATTAAATTTCATGTTGGTTCACTTACACCCCATTTGTTTAAATGTATATACATTATTCTTTTTCTATATTCATTGATTAAAATTAATTAAATTTCATATTCATGAATCAATTTGATTGTTTTCATGCAATTCAATTATTTATTTGTGTGCATGTTTAATAATTAATATTCAATTAAATATATATTGAAAAACGAAAAGTAAGTTAATATTGAAATAATTAAATCGTAATAGGGCTAAAATCGTCTAGAAAATAATTCTCACTTGATGTGATATTTAATATATTATTGATGATTTTATGTAATTATACCATTCTTATAAGGAATCTAGTAACCCTAATTGGGTTAAAAGTTTGTTTCCTATTCAGATAAGGTTTTGTTTCATGCTTTTCTATTTAAACACTAATAACACTATTGTTTGATGAATAATAATTAAATCGAAGAAGATTGTTCTTCAAATATATGCAGAATTGTTTATTTGTTCGCGAATAATGTTTTTGTAATCCTATGATATTCATGTTTGCACTTTCACCTGCACCAGTTGGTATCGGAACTCAATCTATGCTCCGACAATGTATCAAGGAGCACATGTTAGACGTTACGATACCAAGGTTTATAATGGAGACCGTAAATATGAACTAATACCAAATTTGGGAATAACCAGAGGTTGTGGCACAACATGTGGTCGAATTGGTTGACCTCTTTGGCGATCGACGAGAAGCACGAGGTGGTGGCCATAATGCGTGCATTGCAATTAGACAAGGCCGACAAGATGGTTGGGCTAGTTGCGAGCCTGATCTTGGACACGATTGCAAAACTTGAGGATGGAGAGTGTTCAAACGGCTTAAGGGTCAGCGTAGCTTATGAAATTGGTGGGCAACCGTCGAGGAAGTCTACGATTTGGATCATTGTATGAATGTTGAGATAGAGTCTGAAACACATCTTTTGCTCTCTTTAATCTTGATTGAAAGCTGAGTCAAGTGAAGACTATGTTGTAATTAATTCAACTTCAACTGCTAAGATGGAGCAGCTCCATTGCATCTGGTGCACAATATTTTGTTTAATGTTACAACATCAATTGCGTATGAGTTATGCTACATGTACAAATTTGGGTTACAAAGTTGGTTGACAAAATAACATCTACACCAATTATTTTAAAAACAGATTTTTAAATCATTTGAAATCAACGGTCTGAATTTTGTCAACATACTTTGTAACTCAACTTTTTACAAATAGTTTTATTGATTGCATATGGAGCATGATAAGACATCGCAATAAAATTCGGTGCAAGATTCGAGAATGACTCTTCTTCAATGGAAAAAGATTGTTAGATAAAAATTCGAAAGATTCCTTAGTTGGTCTGGAGTTTATTTTCTTAATTGGTTATGATTTTTATTTTTTGATTTTATGTAATTATACTATTCTAATAAGGAATATATTATCCTAATTGGGTTATATTATTTAGATTAGGTTTTGTTTCATGCTTTTTTATTTAAACACTTTAACGTCTTTATTATAACACGGTTGTTTGATGAATATTAATTAAACCATGGAATATTTTTCTTCAAATATCTATCAAATTGAATATTATCTACACATTTCGTAGAACCACAACATATAAGTACTTTAAAACAATATCAAACAAGCACATACATATGTTAAAAGTCACACTAGCACGAATTTGTTGCAAATGGGGTTGTTTCACAAAACATTTGATAAAAATTGATGAAACATACGATTAAAATATGTGTTATTCTACCCTGCCAAAACCCATGTGGCCATGTCATGATTAAAATAGGGGTAATTACATAAATACCCATAAAATTGGGGGCATTTAGAAAAATCATGCGAAAATTTATGTTGATGTTAAAATTACGGTCTATTTTTTCTAACAAATGTCTGCTTTTATTTTCCTTACCAATTATCCCACCTTCTATCCTACGCAAGACTTGCCCACCCCCACCCCCCAAAACCACGTACTTCAATTGACGCACTTTTATTTTTATAATGTGTACTCATTTGAATTGATAGTAATTCATATTTCATACTACTTAATTTTTTTTAATTATTATATATTGAAATTCAGATTTGTATAATTGAATTGAGTTTGTATATATAAAAATTTAACTTCAGATCAATTCAAGTGATGTATGCAATGTGTTCGTGAAAACATAAATACAAATATGAGAATGAGAAAAGCAACATTCTCTTTCACTTTTTTAAGAGGTCGCAATTTCTCTTATTTGAATTTTTTTTGAACAATTAAATGGGGAAATCTTTTGGATCGATTAAATAGATGCGTACACGTGTTTTTGTAAAGTTTAAATATGAATATGAATTCAAACATTATTTTACATTAAAAATTGACATGATGTAACCCTTTATTTGCATTTTTGCATGAGTTAAGTGCTAAAACTTGAAATGACATTCTTTATCACTTTTATTTAAAAAGGTTGCAGTCTATCGCATTAGAATTATTTTGAATTAATAAAATAGATGCATTCGGTATGTTTGTGAAAATTTAAATATGAATATGAATTCAAATTTTTCTTTACATTAAAAAGTGACATAATATAATTTATTTTTATTTTTTGTATTTTTGCATATTAGTTAATTTGGTGAAATTTAAAAGTGTCATACTCTATCACTTTTTTTAAAAAAAAAGGATCGTACTATTTTATTTGTATTCTTTCTACTGATATTAATAAAATTAATGTCTTTATCTATTTGGAAGAAAATGGGAACAAGATAATGCAAATAAAAGTGACAAAATATGTGAGATTGTTGTCCTATAGAATGCACATACAACAACTTTTGTTAATATGTGTCACTTTTTAACAAAAAAATGTGACATATCATGTTACCTTTTGTCAAAAATCTAAAATTTGACATTATTAATAAGAGACTAAGTTGTCTGCAATTTCATCAATAAAATAATTGATGTATCCTTATATTTTAAAAAATGACAAACACTTAAAAAAGTGACAAACAATTTAAAAAGTGATTTTAAAAAAAAAAAATCAACACTAGTGATAGAAATCGAAAAAGTGAAAAATACTATAAAAAAAAAAAAGTAGCAAAAATTATAAAAAATGACAAACACTCAAAAAAGTGATGGCAATTCAAAGAAAGTGAGGGAAAAAAAAACATATATTCATCAAATTGACAAAAATTCAAAAAAAATGATAGAAAATTAAGAGAGAGAGAGGGGAGAGGAATTCATAAAAGGCGACAAAATGCTCGAAAAAGACATGGAAAAATTTTTTAAAAAAAGTGAAAAAAGTAGTATGATGGTGATTTTCTCTTTCAATAATTAGTATATATTTTACTCTGTTAAGAATTTTGATAATAATTTAGAAATAGTAACAATTTTCAAAAAAAGTGAATTTTTTTTTTAAAATGACAAAAATTTAAAAAGAGTGACAAACACTCAAAAAAATGATAAAAAATTGACAGAAAATAAAAAAAAAAAAGTAACAAACACTAAAAAAAGATAAATTCTACAAATTCAAAAAAGTGACACACTAAAAAAATGACAAAATAAAAAAGTTATATCTATTCAAAAAAGTGACAAAAATTTTAAAAAGTGACAAATACTCAAAAAGTTATGGGAATTTAAAAAAAGGAAAGGGGGACATAAATAATATGATGGTGATTTTCTCTTTGAATAATTATTATCTATTTTACTCTATTAGGAATTTCGATAGTAATTTAGAAATTGTAGCAGTTTTCAGGAAAGTGACAAAAATTCAAAAAAATTGGCAAACACTAAAAAAATGACTGAAAATAAAAAAATGACAAACGTTCAAAAAAGTGACACAAATTCTACAAATTCAAAAAAGTGACAAAATAAAAAGGCGAGAAACACTAAAAAAATTACAGAAATTCAAAAAAAGTAACATAGGCTCAAAAAGTAACAAGCACGAAAAAAGTGACAGAATTTTTTTTTTTTTTTTTTAAAGAGTGAGAAA